GATTAATAAGACATTAAACTGTTGATCTATAGTGAAAAAATATTTTGGATTTTTAGGCAATTTTTTGAGCTCCCATATTTTATAGGTCATTTACTCAATACTGGCCTGTGCGACAACTTAACCATTTTGCCACGACATGCCTCATATTTGGATTTGTTTTGTAGTCCCATGTAGGTTTGTCTTACATCCAGGGAAGTCAAGAGGGGAAACTGCAAGAGGGGAAACTGTAACCGGGGAAAGGATTGGTGTGGGCCCTCAGTTACGAGCGAGTGCGAGAAAAATTGCGCCGAAGGCACAAAATATCTTTTTTGAGGGGTTCTGTCTATCTCAGGAGGTCCATTATTAGGGAACCGATGCCACTACTTAGGGACCCATAACAGTAATTATTTTTGAAAAAAATATTGGGAAAAAAAATGCTACCTGCAAATTTTTATGGGCCCCCTGGTAAGCTTGGAATCCCCCCAACCCCCACCCGGTCTCGGTGACACTGCTTGCATGTACCAATTACTGAGCGTAAGAAGGAACTACATTACACTACTTTACCTGCGCTGCTGTTGGCCTCTTCTGTGGGTTCCAATGAAGCATATCTCTGAGTAGATTGAGAGCCTCCGGGCTAGCGTTACCAATCAGTGATTTGAAAGGTGTAGGCACACACTGAGGAAACTTGAAATTCATCTGATTTGCTAGTTGGAAACCTTCTGGCCAATCCATCTATAAAAACATTTATTTCAAATTTTGTAAAACATTTCCGGGTAAAGCTACATTTGTATAACTAGTGTAAAATGTAGCTTAAGAGAAAAACACATTTGCCACAAGTAATGCTGAGGCAGTCTTAGGCCTAATTTCACAGTTTAATTGCCAACCACCATTCTCTCATTCTTGCTGATTGATAAATGTTTTCCACAAATCTAACAAGTCCACAATTTAGGTTAATAATGCTTCAAATTTATCTTTTGAAGCTTGAAATGTTGCCTTTGCCAAATAACATGCAAGAAATACCAACTCTATTTTTATTGTACAATAAGCAATTTGTAGTGGGGATAACGCTTCAAATTTATCACTTGAAGCTTGCAATGTTGCCTTTGCCAAATAACATGCAAGAAATACCAACTCTATTTTTATTGTACAATAAGCAATTTGTAGTGGGGATAACGCTTCAAATTTATCACTTGAAGCTTGAAATGTTGCCTTTGTCAAATAACATGCAAGTACAGTAATACAAACTCTATTTTTATTTCTAAAAAGCAATTTGTTGGGATGGCATCATTACGAACAACCAAAATGTTAACTAGGGAATTGACTCCCTCATGTTAAAAGCTTAGGATATTAGACTTGGATGGACAGTCACAAGTTTGATAACATGATGCTATATGAAATGTGAGTAAACAATAAAGTAACTAAACCTTCTTTGGTGTTCCTAATACAGAGCACACTTTGAAGATTTCATCCACCTCACTACTGCCTGGGAAAAGTGGCCGTAACGTGTATAATTCTGCCATTATGCAACCCAGCGCCCATATGTCAATCGGAGAATTATAGTTAGTAGAGCGAAGTAGTACTTCTGGTGCGCGGTACCTGAAAGTTTACAAATAATATAAAATAAAAATAGTAGCCAATAAGTATTAGGGAAAGAAAAGAGGTCTAACTTTCAGGTTGTCTTTGAAACGCAATATTATCTTGAAAAGACTAGTATAACCATGACTTAGACGCTGTCCTTCACGAAAAGCGTTCTTTAAAGTTGTTTTAATCCAACACATTCTGCATGTAAAGAATGCTTGTTTGAAAATTTCTGAACTCAATTCATACTATAATTAGAACCGCCAATAACTTATTGGTGGTAATATTGTGTTTCGAAATCAGGATATTAGGACCTCTTTCCATTTTATAATCTTTGCTCACTTCAAGATTTTTAATGTTGGTTCTTAAAGCACTTTAATAATTTCACTTTATTAGAGGTTTTCAAAAGCACTTTATTTAATTTAAAAAGTGGTTTCTAAGAAGCACTTTATTTACTTAACTTAAAGTGTTTCATAAAAGGACTTTATTAATTTTATATTTCTTGAAAAAGAACTTCAATATGTTTCACTTTCCCATTTAAAAGTCACTTTGAGTGTTAAAAAATATACAAATATTGACACAAGCAATTGCCCTGTATGCAAACACAAACATATCCATAAAATGCATCAAATCCTATGCGAATACATTCCATTATTTATCAACAGAAATCAGATGTTCTATGGACAGTGACTGGACAAGATTGAATCTATCTATAAACTATATTTCTCATTCTTTCTTCTCTCTCTAATGTTTAATTTCTTGTTCATCTATGTCTACAATTCCTTCTTCTTCTCTGTCTACCTAATATTATTGAACAAGGAACAAGGATTAATAATACAAAAAAACTCATTTAGGAATCATCCTAAACCTACTGAATGCATTACAATGGCCTGTTGCTAAACTTGGATGGAACGATGCATTTGCGATGTCACCACAGATCTATTTGAAGGTGCCTAAGGCTACGTCCGAGCATGCACCAGATTCGTAATTTCAGAAAGGGGATATTATGTAACTGAGTATGCTAAAACAGCTCTAACATTATATAAAATTGGTATCCTTTACTGTCACATACCATCTTGTTGAGACATAGTCTGTATATGGTGGCCTTGAGCGGATCTCTCTTACAAGACCAAAATCAGCTATTTTCACTAACTCTGGTCCAGTACATAACAAATTCTCTGGCTTCATATCACGATGAAAAAATCCTGAAATTTAAATTATAAACTGTTATTTATTTTACTATTTGGAAAAGACTTATTAATTAATGTATATTCACTTTTTTTACAGTATACAAAAAAAAAAAAAATTCATATACAGTATTGCACTACTATCATTACAATATCCAATTATTTCTTTGTCACTAATTCTAAAATCTGATATTTGTATGACTTAAAAAAATACTTCAGAAATTAACACTTTGCTTGCTTCATGGTCTACTTACCATGTTTGTGAATGAATGCCAGGCCTTGTAAGATCTGATATAAGATGTTTCGTATTACAGACTCTGGTAATAAACGATCTCTGAAGAAGTAAAAACAATACAAAATTGAACATTTACATCTAGATCTATTGTACTTGGTACAAGTTATACAATAATAAAAGTAAAAGTACTAAATATTAGCTATATATTTCTGTCATTTCATTTTCACTTTTATCCACTGAAATACACAATAAAAAGTTCTTCTAAATGAAAACATGAATTTAATATTGTATGCGAAACCAGAAATTGAATCATTCTATTAAAGGAAAATTAAATTCCTTAATTAAAATGCTTGCATTTTGTATACCTAAATTAAATTTCTATCAAGGCCTTGTACAATTTAGAATCATTAAGCATGCATGCACCATCATATTTATATTAACCTATTGTTACTGGTCCGAGTCCTAGTCATAAAACTAAAAAATAATTTTCTCAGAAATTCATTAAAACTCATTTACAATCATGCGTGAGAAATACAACGTACCGGTAGACAAAGTGCCTTACTCTAGGTCACAAGCTACAGTACGTGCAACAAGAAGGAATTTGCTGCACCAAACCACTTCTAATAGTGTGTAGGGATGAAATTATTGCAGGGTGGGATGTATGGCGGTTACATTTTGAATGGTCTTATTTTCAAAGACAACTATACTAGTGTAGTGAATGGGAAGTGTTATCATTGTGTTTTTCTTACCTATCTTTCATTAGCTGATATAGGTTTTCTTTCATGAATTCAAAAATAAAATACAGATGATCATTTTCCCGGATAACTTCTTTCAATTTCACAATATTTGCATGGTTCAATTTGCGTAAAGACTGAAAGAGAATGATGAAATAGGAGATAATTGGAATCATTACCTTTGCCTCTCTGAAAAAGAGGTGAGAGTGTTGTAATAGTGCGCATAACTAGACCGTTTTACTTCAGATTTTCACACATTGACAATGTTACATGTATTTTGGTCCTCCACAAATTTGGAGCTGATCGGAAGCAAAATGCAGATTTCAGAACGTTATTTATATATTTTCTGACCGCAACAGCCGACAGAGCCAACTCAAGCAGACCATTTTACCGAGTCGTTTGGCTAGGCCGAGCCGACTCGTGTGTCAACCTCTGGCTGGCGGACTGGAAGCAGTCCAGACGGCGTTCTAACTCGCCCGATTGATGGGCTTGCCATGTGAGGCCTATGCTGCCCCACTCTATGACAAAAGGAAGTAATTGACAATTTTTCAAAAATGAGTTTTTTAGTCACTGTCAAAGAACTAATAATTTGGAACATATTGATATATTTGAGTATGTTCAAATGCTGCTAATTAACAAGTAATTAGCAACACATAAAGGAAGAGAGAGACTAAAAATACGGTAAAACCTCCAGAAAAGGAAGCAGGGGACAAAATCAACATGCTCCATATTCATTAATTACTCAAAGCACAAACATCAGTTGCTTCCTTTTGTTATAGTGGAGCAGTATGATGCTAGGCCTCGTTTGACGGATGAAGCTGTTCCAGGAAATCGACTATATACATAAATATCAGGGGCGGATCCAGAAATGTCCAAAAGGGGGGGCCGGAAGGGGGGGCCGAAAGTTGGGCCGATTGAGACAACACTGTAGTAGGGGGTCTGGGGGCATGCCCCCGCGAAATTTTTGTGTTCTAGACTCCCGGACATAACATTTGAGGCATTCTTGGCCATCATTTTTTCCTTTTTCTCTCTTTTTTTTTCTTTTTTTTTCTTTTTTTACCTCCCAAAAGAGGGGGCCGGGGCCGGGCCGGCCCCCCCCCTAAATCCGCCCCTGAATATGGTTTGTTCATGTGAATCTAATAATCACAGGAGCTACACTGGTGTTAATGTAGCTTCCTTTAATAGCGAATAATCGCAAATAATGGATTCTAGTTGTTCTTATCAGTTGACTGGAATAATCGCAGCAGGGTCACAATGCACAGCATGACCCCCAATAAAAATATGGTGCAACTGGTTTGAAAATGTGTAATCTCAGATTATAAGTATTATCATTGTAATTTGTACTTTGTGGCAATAGTTTACTGAGTGAACATATTAAATAAGGTAATATTTACCTTTACTTCCCGCAGTTCCATACATTCATCCCATGAGTAATATTTCTTCTTCATCCTGAAGAAAAATTATTGAGTCTAACTTTAAAAATGGTAATCTTTAATTAGATTTACTTTAATAATATTAGTAAATAAAATACTTAAAATATTTTTGGTGATGTACAGGTTACTAAGAATTACTGCTTTTACACCTAAAAAGTGTCTTGCTTTCTAAGAATAGTTTTTATCAATTGTAAACATGTTCTAATATAAAATACAACATAGTTTATGTTAGATTATATCAAGATTATACCATAAGGGAAATTTAATTTATAATTACTTTTCATAATTCTAGTAGTCTATATTAATATATAACAGGCTACTAAGAATTACTGCATTCATGCTTAAAAATTGTGTCACTTAATTATTAATTAGTTGTAAACATCTCCAAAGTGCACAGCAAACAAACATGTCTGCTAAGCATACAGGAGGCCAAATTAAAAACATTTATGTATCTTTAACTTATTCACTTCCTTATTCCATCTCAATTATTTTGAAACACTGTTTTCAATCAAGAGGCAAAACACACATAATTGAAGAACGATATTACAGTACAGAACTTGGCATTAGGCCTACTATTATGGAAACTTTACAGAATAAATTCTTACTTTTTGATAGCAACCATTTCACCAGTCTCATTACTTTTGCCAAGAAGAACACTGCCGTATGTCCCATCCCCCAGCTGTCTCATTGTCTGGTACCGATTCATGGCTTGCAGTTTAATTATGTTTTGATTTTAAAGTACAGTGTCTATAGTATCGTCAGATATTTGTTCCATGTCTTGGCTTTATGTTTAAAGAACCTATTGAAAAAAAAAGAAATCATTTTAAAGAATTCGAGATAAGTATAGCTGATGCTAGACACTATAAATTAATACCTGTACACATTTAAAGAGTGTGGTCAAATAATTTATAATAGATTAAAATCCTCTCTAATGTACTGTAGCCAAGAATCTTAGAAACAGCAAAATACTATTAATGATAATAATAATAATATTTAAATTTCCTCATTAACAAATATAGGAGGAGGGCGAATCCAAGGAAGAACAAGGTTCCTGTACAAGGTTTGGCAACCCCACAACATTAAACATGATAGAAAAAAGAAAACAGTCACACAACCGCAAAGACAGTCTGCAGAAGTACAACGTCAGATCATTGCTTAGATTAACCATGTACTGCATGACGATAGTAAAGATAGTTCATGGAGGTACAGCAGTTACAGTAGGCCTATGTATACCGATGGAGAAAACAAACAATCTCAGATGCGAACAAAGGATCAAGGCTTACTATAAACGCTGCCTTTATTTGTAGTATCTAATCCTAGGCTAGAGGCTAGGCCAAATTGGCTCATACTAACAATGTAAATTAAAATTTTCAAAAGAAACAAGGGTTGAAGCTCAGCTTAATATTAAATTCATTATTTCTTTATTCTTTCTTTTGACTGGATAATTTTCAACATTAGCGTATGGTCTCCCAAATGGCAGAGTTACTGTATTTTCTGAACAATATAAACTTAACTAAATTAACAAAATTATTTTTAAAATAATTAGATAAGTATGGTTATTGAGAGAGGTGAGACATTAAGCTATTGTGCAACATGAAACGTGCATAATGCAGTACTCCTTTGGAAAAGAGGATTTCCCCGCTGTAGTCACCACCAGAAGGACCCCCAATGGAAATAATAATAATAATAATAATATGTTAGATTTATATAGCGCTTAACGGTAACAAGGCCTCTAAGCGCATCACATTACTACCCCCGGAAATAGACTTCCTTAGATTTTTGTGGGTCATCCCTGATGTTTACGCAGAATATTATATCCAACAATTCATTTCAGTCCATTTGCATCACAAATTGTATAGCTACAAAATAGCTGTGGACAAATTGTTTAATCTAAACCATATGTATTTGTAGCAAAGACAAACCAAACCAGTCACTGGTTGCAAAAATTGATTTTTATTTATTAATACAGGGTTAAAAAGTAGAATGAAAGCTATAAAATGGTAAAAAAAATCATTAAAATCCGACATTTCATGAAGTTACAGGAGTTTAAACATTCAACTATTTAAAGAACAAAGTTTATGATTTTTACATTTCTCAGGCATAAACCATCACTAAATCATTAAAAATTGTTGTTTTAACATTGAAAATGGGGGAAAATAACAGCATAGCATGATATATAAATATATAAAACTTAGTTTAGTGCAATAAAACATATTTCAAAAATTTTGAAATTTCAGCATGTTTTGCCTATCTCTGAAACAGGATTTGCAACGAGTGACTGGTTTGGCTTGTTTTTGCCACATTTTAGCAAAATGTATGATTGTCAGCAATTTCACAAAAACACCAGAAATGTAGAATATGTACAGTTTGTTAAAATTCTGATGTGCCCATCTGTAACCATCCTCTACAATTAACCATTACCATTAAAGTATGGAATAGAACTTTTCAGAAAAGGCAAAGCCAGATATAGACAGTCACCTAAAATACAGTAGCCAAATGAGTAAAGAATCAGTTGGAATTGGACTAAAAAAAATGTAATTTTAATGTGGTGAATTTTTAAAATTAGGATAAAAGTGCATCAGCACTGACACAAGATTAATGATGATACTAACCTAGACCTAGGCTAGCTGAATAATCAAAATCTTATTAATATGCTGCTGAAGTAGGTATGTCATGGTTGTCATCTAGCTGATTATTAGCCCTAGCTATCCTATATAGGCTACTAAGTACTAACCTTGGCCTACGCCTAGGCCTAGGCTAGTCTACCAAACCAAGGCTAGCCTAGCCCTGTCGCCTAAGCTAGGCTACTACTAGGGCCTAGTAAGTAGTAGGCCTAGACTACCTAGGCTACCCGGGCCTTAGCGAGATTGGAAAAGGCTAAAAATGTAGATTTATTACTACTTATATAGTATGGAATTATACACAACATCGTATATAAACTTGCACGTAGGTTATTTAAAAACATACCTTATGTTTCTACATTGACAGTATGAAAAAAATAATTTATTACATGAACAAATAATGTCCGTCAAATCAATCCATACGTCCCGAATATAACTGATGATGGACAGCTTAGCCTATTTATTACATATATATCCATAACAACAAACAATACATTCTACGTTTCCCAGCACAGCGCCACCAATTAAAGCGAGTACGACGCCTAGCCGCCGCCATTCACAGTTCATGAAATCAAATGAAATCAATAATTTAGTCTTGTCCTTATAGTTTAATAGTGTTATACAGTAATAATAAATGTATCGCCGTAAATAACGCCGGTATCACGGTGCTTCAAATTAGCCTACTAAATATTTTCCATGTAGAATGCGAACATAAATTTCAGAAAAACAATTAGTTTATTCATGGAGGAATAGACCTATCTTATTTTGCTGTTTTTAGCATTATTATTTTGTCTTGTTTTTTATTTCAGCAATTTTTATTAAAAATGTAATCCTCTGGTGTTTATGAATAACATTCTGCGTGGCAAAATCTGAAATTTCTGTAAAAGGAAAATAGTTAAAATTTAGTTTCTCTTGTATACCATGATGGAGTCGAAAATTCGCTCTTTTTTAGCGTATATTTATCGAACAATTCAGTTTTTGATTCATAAGTTTTGGACATACAAAAACCCTGAATATGATTTACCTGTCGTATTATGTATGCGGTGTTTATAGCGAGAAGAAAATAGTTTCTTATATGTACAAGTAAACGATTAAATAACTGAATTTTTAGATCAGCAAGTTTGGTTAGTATCGTCAGAGGAGGGTTGTAGCATGTTGGTGCATTTAGTGCTTTTTATAATTTAAACACAGATTTTTATACCTTGTTTAACCATACAGAAAATAGAGCATTTAACGAACCCCTGACTGGCAATAATGGTAATTTTGAATAAAATTAAAATTTTATTTTTTGGCCAGTTAGCGCACCCTCCGCGACAAAAATGTAATTTTCTTATTATTTATTTTCATTACGCCCTCCGCTCCCGACATCTCCAAAAAATAAGATATATATTTCTTACTAAATTTAAAGCATCAATCTCATTACTGTAATACTGCACTGTTTACATTCATTAATAAAATATTATTTAAATTTTTCTCAGAAAGTTGGACCACACTAGTACAGTATGTGATAAGTATCAGTACTTTAATTTGGATTATGTTGGTATATGATCTTTGTGAGAAAGCAAGACCACGCTGTATGTGATCAATTTCGTAGCATGCAGTATGTGATCATTGTCAGTGAAAGGTCGACCACATTATTATTAGTAATTCAGAACGCATTGGAACATGTTCATTGTCTGGAACATGTTGGTATATACAATTACTGCGAGTCAGACCAGCTGTCCTCCTATGCCTTTTGGACCCCACTGGCACCGCTGCTGTTTGACTGATGCTTTGGAAAGTCCATTGTCAGTCAGACCTGGGGAAGATTTGGGGAGGGGCGGGCGGGCGAACCTTTTTTGGAATGGGGAAAAAGGAAAAGACATTATTGATCTGAAAAAGGAAAAGACATTTTTGATCTCCTCAGAGGCTGCTTTCAGGGCATGTAATGTTGTCTCTCGATTACCCACCCCCACATATTGGACATCTCTGGATACGCCCCTGCAGACTTTGTTGGTATGTGATACAACAGCGATCCAGTTTATAATGTTTTTTTTGTACTGTATTATCATAAGTAAATTTGACCATGTTTTTATATATTTTGAATTTTTGTGTCTAGTCGTTCATGTTAGGATGGATGGAAATGTGACAGTGATTCTTTTGCTTATTATTGTGTTTCATGTATTATTGTAAAGTAATTTGATGACCGTTTTTACAAGATATATAATATAGTAGACAACAAGTCAAACAAGTGTTTCCATCTTGGGCTCTCAAATAGATATTTTTTTTATTCTAATGAGGAAATACTTGATAATTATACATTTAATACACGTTAGTCTGTGGTAAAAAGTTCAATAACATTCTCATCTACACTGGTATTTGTCAGTTCTGGAAAAATACAAAACTGCCACCAATAAACAAAAATTAATAATATAATTATATATTTAAAAAAATCAATTATAGTGATCATATTTTCCAGTTATCTGTTAGCTGGCTTTCATCATTGCAAAATGTAATGACATTTATTAAAAATACAATGTAACTTAATTTACTTTTCTAAGTTGATACATGTTGGAATCAAGCATGTTGAGTGTCTTTATATTAGCAAAGAGTATAGAATTGCTTTTCTATACTCTTTGATATTAGTCACCTCAATCACGTCATTCGCACTTCTGTTTCATCTTAAGAAAAGAAGTACAACATGAATTTATAACTCTATAATGGGTCATTTAATTTTAAAGTCTAAATTTTGAAGAAATCATGCACTGGGCTTAATTATATTGAGATAATTAATTTCAACAACATTCACATACATTATACACCCTTATTTTTATCTATACATTCAAAAGGAAGCAAGCTCAAATTCTGGCAAGCAACAACACACTGAACTAGATTTGAACTCGTCACTGAGGACGAATTCGGTGATCCGCCGTACTTTGACCCTCAGGAAGCGCGCGCGGTGCTGATTGAAAAGTTTCATAATATGCTAACATATGCTGTAATTACTTTTAAAAAAA